GCACACACCTACTGCCCAGCAGCCTGAAGGGCCTCCAACCAACAAACACCTGGGAAGTCTGCAGTGGGGAGAACAACACCAGTTTCTACCTTCCTTAACTCCTGGGGCCAAAGGGAAGCTGGTTACTCCCAGGAAGATACACCCAACCTGTAGCCATGAGTGGCACCCACAAGAGAGCAGCTTCTGGTGATTAAGCACCCATAACATGAGGTCTGGGGGCCTGCTCTCACTCTCTGCCCTGGCATTACAGACTAGATGAGATCTAGGCAGGGATTTAGCCTTTGTGAGAGCTCTGCCTGCAAGTCGGCGACCCTGGCACCTACCTTGTTTAGTGCCAGGTTGAAGGAAGGGGAGGATCTAGATGGGGTAGGCCCCTCCTCCCGACTCCAGCATGTTGGAGTGGAGCAGGATCCTTTCTCTGGGTAGTTCGGCTCCACTGCACGCTTCTGCCCAAGCTTAGCACACTGATGGTGTGGCTGTAATAGCTGTGAACAGGGACTGCTTTCATCCCTTTTGCCCTCTGCACTGCTTTTCCATGAAGACAGTGAATGCTGCTGCCCAGAGGTCCCTGCCAGCCCCACGTCTGTCAGCTGCTGCAGCTCATACTGATACAGATCTACTACCCTTTTCTCCAAGGAATGGAGTTTTCCCTTACTGTCCTTCCTCCTAAGGACAGGTTTCTTTCTTAGTCTGGAAACTCTCTCAGCTTCCTCAGCATACTTTCTCTGGCCCGAAGCCATTCCCAGCCCCTCACTTTTCTTTTCTGCTTTTCTTCTGCTTGGGCAGGGGGATCTTTCAGTTGTATGCTTGGTTTTGATCCCTTTCGGGCGACCTTCCCCATGGCCTTCTGGCACGGAGTTTCTAGGAAAAAGGGGGGAGTTCTGGTCTTGCTCTGCTCCCCTAGTCTCTCTCAGTGAGCGCAAGCGGCTGGGACTCAGCACTCGCTGGGTAATCTCATCCAGAAATTTGGAGAACTGCAGTTTTTCCTCTGTGATCTTCTCCCTGCGCTTGACAGAGTCAGCAGCCCTGCTGCTGCTTTGCTCCAGGGAGTGCTTCTCCCTAGGGCTGAGGCAGAGCTGAGGATCACTGTTTTTGTGTGAGTCACCACTGTGGCAAAGTGTCTCTACTGAGCGGGACTTGCATAAGCTCTCAGGGCATGAGCCAGTCATGTTGGTCTGCTTCAGGATCCCTTTGAGAGGCAGGTTTGTAGAGGAGACACGGAACTTCCTCGGTGTCAGGACTTCAGGAGGCTCTTTAAATATAAGTGAGCGTTCCAGGCTTCTGCTCTTGTAAGAGGAAGTGGGATGGTGTCTTTCATCTCCAGACACCAGAACTGTCTCCATGCTACGGCTCACAAATTTGCTGTGGTGCCCACGACTGCGGTTTGGGCACTGCTTCCCACTTCGCTGCCCCATCTTCCCACCACGCTGAAGTGCTGGAGAGACAGTCTGGCTCTTGATGTTCAACTCTGCTCTGCACCCTGCCACTTCCTTCTCACTGCTGGACTCCAGGGACCACGATGAAGAGAAGTTCAGGTTGCAAACCTCAAACCCCTCTGCCTGCTCAAGCTGGCCTGCCTCGGTGTAACTAAACCCTATTTGCTGGTGCAATGGTGTTAAGCCCTTTGTCACCCGGCAAGTTGTTACCTGACTCTGCTCAGCCAAGATCACTCCATCCTGGTCGTCACGAATGATGGGTACCTCATGTCGGATTTCGCGATGCTGCGGGGGCGCCTTGCGGTAAGGCTTCTTTGATGGGGCTGTGCTCGACATCCTCCCACCTGCGCGGCTCCGAAAGTGGGTTACCTACCAACAGCAGAAAGGGCACAGAAGAGAGAGTCACGGCTGCTCCATCGAACCCTAGAAGTGACCCAGCAGGAATTCAGCTCCCCTGGAGTCCCAGAGCAGGTCCCCATGCAGCATGCTAATAGAGCAGGTAAAGGATGTAGCCACAAGCCTTGAGCAGCAGCTATAGGAGAGGGAGCAAAGTAAGAGGTAGCTGTGTCCTTCTCCTCGCCAGTGAGAGCAGAGGGCTGACACATCCTCTCCCCCCTCTACACACGCTCACTCACGTAATTGTGTGTGTCCGGATTATATATAGCAAATGAGAATAGACCTCACAGCAGCATATTGATTAGGCTCTTTAGGAAAGGCCTTTTTCAATATGGAAAGTGCAAGCCTTATAGGCAGCAGTGACAGCTGGAGCAGGAGTTATTGATCATGTCCTGTCACTGTCAGCAGGGACTATGTGGGAGGAGACTTCAGCCATTAAAGAGCCCAGAACTTTTTGGCTTACGCTGGACCCCAGTGCAGCAGACCACAGGAGATTTGTCAGAAGGAGAACTGATTACTCTGGCAGAAAAGACAAAGACAACCTCCAAATCACAGGTGGCATCAAATTAGGGAGCAATGTTTTTGACCCCTTGTTACTTAAGGCCAGATTTTTCAACACAGAATCACAAAATGGTTTGGGTTGGAAGGAACCTTAAAGATCATCTCATTCCAACTCCCCTGCCATGTGCAGGGACACTTTCCACTAGACCACGTTGCTCAGAGCCCCATCCAGCCTGGCCTTGAACCTCCAGGGATGAGGAGTTCACAACCTCTCTGGGCAACCTGTTCCAGTGCCTCACTACCCTTAAAGTAAGTGCACAATATATAGACATGCAGCTGTACCACTAGCGGAAAGCTTAGCTCCTTCACCCTAGCTATGCTGGGATTCTTCCTGATGCAGAAGCAGTACAAGAGCAAAAAATAGGGTAGAAGAAAAGCAGCTGTCTTGTACACATGGAAGAAACACCTTCCTTTCCGTCTTCTAGGTCTGCAGTTGAGAGCAGGAAGACTTCCCCACAGCAACCAGAATGTCAACCACCCTGTTGTATATGAGACAAGAAGTCTTAAGAGCTATCAAGCAGGCGCTGCAGAGCCCAATACCAGACTTTCCTCAGTGATAACACATGCATCATTCATAGTTGTCCTATATTTGGAGCAAGTACCCAATTCTCATTCCCTTTGCAGGACCCTTACACTCAGCAAGCCTCAGCACTTCAAAGTGCAGGACCTGTGTCCACTCAGATCATGCTCTCTCCCCACTTCTACAAACAGGGCCACACAACTCCCGTTTACACACCTGCAGTCAATGGCTACCATGGGGCCCATGACCCAGCAGACTTCACTCACTTAGTGTGTTGGACAGTGGCATTTTACATGGTAAGAGTCTAAATGGAGCCTCGAAAATTCTCTCCAATTCTTATCCGCTCTAATCTAGATGCCTCTTTTGACACCCAGACTGAGTTCCCCTGAGAGGAAGGCAAGTGGGAGGTGTCTGCCCAAAGCACAGAGCAGTCCCAAGTCATAACAGGCTTTACGCTTCACAAGTACATTTGCAAACTGTTCTTCACTCTGCTATAAACACAAGCTCACAAAAGTTGCTCGCACCTTTCCACAACACAAACAACTTCCTAGGACTAACCTGTAAATATCCCCCTTCAGAATGCTGGAAACTTCCCCTTGCTGCAGTCATTCCCACAAAGTCCCTTCTCCTAAAAAGACTCAAGTAGATGCAGAGATCTCTAATATTTTAGAAAAATTACATCCATAATACTGCATGCACATTTCACTGCATCCCTAAGCAAAACAGATAGGTCTGATTTGCTGGGAAGATATTTCTCTTTTTTCAAAGAGAAAGGCAGAAAACCTGACCAGAAGATGGTTTGTAAATGACCCACTATTAAACAGGTGGTCTAGGGGACTCTTCTCTCAATTTCTGCCAGGCTAAGGACAGGAGATGTGCAGGAAGATATGCCTAGCTGAAATCACAATCATTTCTTTAGTTCATAAGGACATAAGCACTTACCAGCCTGGGCTCAGATCCAAAGCCTCATGAAGCAAGGACACTCACTCAGATGACCTGAAGAAGAGAAACAAATAGCTTAGCATCTACCAAAACAGCCAGGTGGACAACTGGGATGGCCACCTCATTCCAGGTACCTGCCTCAGCCCATATCAGACCTTCTGATAGTAAAGAAAATAAACATAGAAATACTTTGCCACATAACCCAACAAGAGCCAGAAAGGCACACGGCAAGGACATGTTCAAGGCACTCAAGCAACTGGAATCACATAAAATCAAAATTCATGAAGCAATGGCCTCAAAGCAACATTGGTTCCAGAAAGGACTAAACAAATCTCCTTTAGAATGGGACTCTCCCAGCTAATCTTCCCTGCCACTGCAAAGGGATGCTAACTGTGGAGCCTTCAGTACAGAAGTTTGGTGATGCTAACAATTATCTCACTCATCCTTTTAAGTCAGTCCTTTTTACCCACAAATGAGCTGGCAATTATCAGGCTCTTGTTTGAGCCAAAACATTTGTGCCTAGAGCTGTGATAACCCACACCTCCACAAGGGAGGAAGGCAAGCTACTCCCTGACTTCCATCAAGCAGCATATCATACTCTACCTTGCTGTTAACAGGCTTCTGTAAAATATCCAGCCAACCAGGGACACAAAACAGGTTCAGAAACAACCTTCCTTTTTGGTCAAAGCCTGGGGTGTTTAACTGATTTTGTCTGGGATAGAGTTAATTTTCTTTCTAGTAGCTAGTAAGTGCTATGCTTTGGATTTGGGATGAGAATACTGTTGATAACACACTGATGTTTTAGATGTTACTAAGCAGTGTTTACATTAAGACAAAGATATTTCAGCTTCTCACCCTACCAGTGAGTAGGCTGAGGGGCACAAGAAGCTGTGAGGGAACATGGCCAGGGCAGCTGACTCCCACTGTCCAAAGGGATGTCCCATAGCTTATGGCATCATGGTCAGTACACAAACTAGGGGGAAAGCTGGCCGAGGCCACTGCTCAGGAATTGGCTGGGCATTGGTCAGCAAGTGGTGAGCAATTGCACTGTGCATCCCTTGTTTTGTACATTCTAATTATTTTATTATAATCCCTCCCTTTTCTGTCCCATTTAACTATCTGTATCTCAACCAACAAAATTTTACTTTTTTCCCAAATCTCTCCCCATTCCACTGAGGGGTGAGAAGAGAGCCAACAGCTGTGTGATGCTTAGCTGCCAGTGGAAATCAAACCACAACAGGTACCTATCACTACAAAAAGAGAATTGGGTTCATCTGGGTTAGTCAGCTGTAAGAGAGTAGCTTTGTGGCCATCACTCTGCCACTGGCATGAGAGACTTCAGTAAAGCCTTCCTTTCCCTGAAGCACTATTGCTGCTTGCTACTTTTTCCATGTCAGTGGCATGAAGCCCTGGGAGGTGGGACAGGAGGCAGGGTGTGGAGCAGTTATACACACACAGGGAGACTCAGATTGAAGGTGAATGGAACAAGCAGGCAACCAGCACCATGCAAAATCAAGCTCTGCCAAAACAAATTGAAGAGGTGCCCCAGTGCTGGCCCTGCCCCAACAAGCTGTCTGGCCTCTTTCCTTGCTACAATGCTGGAGTCGGGTCTCAACTAGCACAGGGAAAAACAGCTTCACAACAGTGGAACTGCTCTGTGGGGCAAACTGTAAAGTATGAGGGGAGAAAGAGAGGGAGAACATGCGCCTCCAGGAAGGATCAGGCCAGCATAGTTTGAATCCGCTTTTCCATCAACTCCCAGCAGAAGCTGGTTCAGCATCAAGGCATAACCACCAGCCACATGGCAGACAGACAGAGGCTTCCAGGAACAGCTGCACCCATGGGTCCACGCATGTTTCCACTGCAGCTGTGCTCGGAAGAAACATGCCAAAGGCCTCCCTGTCTCTCAGCACACAGTTCCTCAGGCTCAAACAACTCTCCTGCTTCCTACCCTAGAGGCAACAACCATGTTACCTGCCATCTCATTCCCATTTACCTGGAAAAGATACCAGGATTTGAAATCTACCCTTATGATCTGAGAATTTCCATAGATACTCAAAAACTCACAGGGCTGCCAAGCAACTTCCCCTCAAACAAGGACTTACAGATCCAAAGTGACGACGTGTCCAAACATTTCTGGTCGTTTGTCTCCGAATCAGCTTTCTCCTGTCAACATTCAGCAGCATCTGGCCAACAGCTCCTGAAACATGAGAAAGGAAACTTGGTGTCAGTCACCTATCAGCACAAAACATGGAAAGAACCAGGCATGCTCAGAGCAACCTGTAGCCAGGTGCCAGGGCAGAAATCAACAGCAAACTTCTGCACCATCAGACTATCTAATGCCAGGTTCCTCCACTGTAAAAGCTCCATGACATTACTGCATCCTGAAAACACAGGTATTTTAACCATCTCTCCACTGAGCAGGATGCCTGTGCAGACCAGTAACTGACCTCGGAAAGGCAGCTGTATTTTCTCCATAGCTCCAGGGGTCCCTGCTTCCCCACCTGCATTCCTGTCCACCATCAAGAACCCAGTCACCGTCATTCTGCTCCAACCACTCTGCCACACCGACATAATTCTGTTTTGCAGACATCCCTGCAGTGAACAGCACAGCAAAGGCCTCCTCATCTACAATACCTGAGCATCTCTTGCTACCACAGAGTGAGAATCTCAAGGTGGTTCAATTCACCACACCTCTGTTCCACACTCTCTGCAAAACAGATGGACCTCGTGCTCCAAAGCAGAAATGGATATAGGTAATATCCAGAAATAGAAGGCGGCACTAATTCTGCTCATCACACTATCCACAAGCCTCTCTCTGAAGGAGCTTGCTGTCAAGTCCACATTAAGGCTACCCTGCAGAAGTTCAATTTTAGCCTGGAGCTACAGCAGGAGGCTGCTCTTCACCTATTCTAATTAGCACTGCAATACAAGAGGAAACTTAAATTCCTAGTTCCTTTTATCCATCTTTTCCATCTCTCATCAGTAATGTTCCTTAACATTTACAGTCCTCTTTATACCAATCTATCACCTGCAGTAGGTCCAATTCTGTTGTCTTCTAGCTATTACCCACTGTTGTTTCAGTCTGATTTCTAAGCTCACTGACAATTACAGCTCCACTGGAATAGCTTATTGAGGGCCACAAGACTCACACTACAAAACATACACAAACTCTTTCTTCACAGGGACACCATGTCCTGGTTACAGCTAGGACAGAGTTAATTTTCTTTCTGGTAGCTGGTACAATGATGTGGTTTGGATTTGGGATGAGAATGATGTTGGTAACACACTGATGGTTTAGCTGTTACTATCCAGTGCTTACTCTAACTCAAGGAATTTTCAGTTTCTCATGCCAGTGACAAGGTGAATGAGAAGCTGGGAGGAAGCATAGTCAGGACAGCTGACCAAGTTCAGAGGGAGCAGAGTCAGGACAACTGACTCAAAAGCAAAAGAATATTCCATACTTAATGGCATCATGCTCAGTATATAAACTGAGGGGAGTTGCTGAGAAGGGCTGACTGCTGCTCAGGGACAGGCTGGGCATTGATCAGCAGGTGGTGACCAATTGCACTGTGTATCATTTGTTTTTCTTGGGTTTTATTCCTCTCTCCGTTACAATTGTTATTATATTTTACTTTATTTCAATTATTAAACTGCTCTAATCCCAACCCACAAGTTTTACTTTTTCTAGTTCTCCTCCCCATCCCTGTGGGAGCCGAGGGGAGAGTGACCAAGTGCCTACGTGGTTCTTGGTTGCCAGCTGGGATTAACCACAACACAGTGACAGAGTGCAGCTGTACAGGCAGCACACAAGCTTGACTCTAGCTGGTTTTACCAGAGAGCATCCCTCAGTGTAAAATTCACCTGCAGGGTAGCTCTGTTCTCTGTGTGATCTGAAAAAGGCAAAACCTTTACCACACACCACAAAGAGATGTCATCTCACACAGAATTGCTTAAGACAGTTCTGTGAGCCCTGTACAGAATAAACAGCCACTTGGCATGCATACAAAACCACACCACCACCCATGAGCATGGCTTTATCTCCAGTACAAGAAAGAAGTCCCTAGCAGAGAAAGGAAGGTTCAAACAGGAATGCTTTGGACAAAATGGGAAAGAACAAGAAAAATAAAAAGGGCAACATTTGTAGGCACCTAGTATCTCTTCCTGACATTTGGCAAGTCCCTTGAGGCCTGAGGTAGCCAACACTTTGGTTATAGGATGCACACAGCTTCTGCCTGCTTGTAGTTACAGCAGCTATACATTTCCTGCAGAGGCAGAGGACTTGCAGGCTTTTCCTCATCATCTTCTCTTGTGTTGCCTTTTCTAGCCTTACAAAACCGCCTTCTTACCGGTGCTAAGGGTCAGCAGTGTCCCTTCCTCCAGAGAAATACAGTGATTATGAAGCAGATAAAGTTTCTTATTTCAGGTACTGTACCACCTTTCCAGCTTTTTCATCTTAACAGCAGCATTTCTTTAGCACTGCTTTTTATTCAGAAACATAAACTCGTATTACTGAAAAAATACATTCCATTACACAATCACAGTCACATTTGTTTCTAATGCAACACTACAGAAAGATTTTTTGTGGCTATCATAGTCAGCACACTCCAGCAACTTGCGGGTACAATACCCACAAGTAAGAGAAGCAAATGTCCTGTGACACGTATCTGACCACCACTGTTAACCTGGAATATTCACTCTCTGTGGGCCAACCTATATTCTGCATGCATATCCAATACAGGATATTGGCACATCCTGCTTTAGGAGGTATCAGTATCTTCCGGCTAGCTTCATGAAAAGCAAACGCAAGAGACTTTTGTCTAGTTGCCTTCCCGTGCTAATGGATAGAGAAAACCTTACCTTTCAAAAGTCTCAAGCCAGACTACCTGAAAGATGCTGCACAAAGCCTAACCAAGACAATTAACCAGGGAGATGGACAATGCAATAACTGCACCAAGGCATGTCTGCCCAGGACAGAAAAACAAGCTGTGTGAAATTAAAAGCAGCACCTGTAGACTGTTGGTGCCAAGCACAATTGAAAAGGACTGCAAGGTTATTAGAGGCTCCTTAAATATTTAATGAGAGAGATCTTTTCATTCAGAGAAGGCATCTCAAAAGAATGTTCAGATCCATTCTACTGCTGGCTGTGTTGGAGCTCATTTTAAAAAAAAGCATGACAACTCCAAGTGCAGACTCACATCTCAGCTCTGCTTGTATGTTAATGCTCATGATTCAGATCTGGCTAATAGCATTATAGTGACTCTTGGATTAAAACTGAGTATCAGGACGATTATTGCTCATTCCTGCTTTTCCATACCAATTAACCTTGACTGTTAGGCAGAAACCTCCGTTCTCTGCATGGGAACAATTCCAAGAGCTATCATGAAAAAGGGATTAGGCTAGCTGTTGAGCAACAGTCCATGTAACAAGCCCTACTTAACACCTAACACATTTCCAAAGAAAATGAAATCCCTGGACTCCAATCATACATAGTTCTCATTGACTGGAAATACCACAGGACATATCATATATCGGTTATATCCACTGCACCATGCAGAATTTTCTGAAAAATTATCGGAATCACAATTTTCCTACAGTCCTGTTCTCTCCTTCCGCAGTACAAAGATCTCAGTCCCCATAATTCAGTTGCACTCCACACCCTTAAGTGTGCATTTTATTATCTATTCTCTGCCGAGTTAAGAGTAGCTTAGCTTTCCTAATTCTTTTATAGAAGCCAGGACTGATCAACATTGACCAAGAAATGCTAGCATCATTAACATGTAACTGGAATACAATGCACCAGCTGATTAACATCTGAACAGGAACAGGACAGGAAGCAAAGGACCAGAATTCAATCCCCAGAAGGAATGTTAATGGAGAGTAAAAATACCCACAGGAGATTTTGACCAGGAAATGAGCACCAGCTTTTTAATGCATATAAAGCATAGAACCACCTTTAATGGCTACACCTGAAATTGCACAAGAACCAGCTCAGCAAAAGGTCATTTACCAAGTTACTTTTAGTACAGACAGCTACATCAAGGGCTAATGACAGCTTCTCATTCAGAACTACTGACACACCAGAAGCGTGCTTAGTTTGTTCAGTGATCCTTCCAACTCTCACAAGGTAGTTTAGGCTACAAACTTTCAGAGTCTCTTCATCTTAGGACCCTGGGTTTCATGTCCTTCCTCACTCTGTCTTCTTACCTGTTCTTTTAAATCTCCCATGAGAAGACATCTGGAGTATATCGCTCAGAAATTTAAAGGAAAAACAGAACATTAGAAAAAAAACTCATGGAGATTAAGAGATCTCTCAAAAGTTTCTGGATGTGTCTGGACCCAGCTAGGAAAAGCAAATCCTGATACTCTAACAACATGTATCTGGGTAAAGTTGATAGGTCACACGAGGGAAACTTGAGAATCATGGCCTTGAACTTTCTCAACACAAGCAAGGGAATGGCTACAACAAGCAAACATTTGAAGAGAAATGAAAGAGGGAGATTTCTGTAGAAAATCACCATGCAGGAATTCCTTTCCCAGACCTCTCTCATATCCTGTGCTGTGTAGGAAGGGAAGAGGGGAAAAATCATACATTACCTTCCCAGAGCATAAAATCAAAAGGTATTTAACTAGGACAAGGTAGAAGCAGCTTAAATTTTTCAACTACTGAGCTGCAGACTCTCAGCCTCTGGTAGTATTCATAAGTCTCACACAACCCCCAGCAATTAATATCAGCAGTCCTCTTGTTTCAGGCTTTGGTTCAGAAGTTCTGGGCAAACTGCAGTCTCCATCTCTTCAGTGCCAGGAACTGAATGTCACTGAGCTGTCCCTCTAGCAGAGATAAAGTAATGCTAGAGAATGCTCCATTGCTGGAATATTCAACTATACACTTGCCATAATCCAGTCTCCAAAACATGCCCTCTGTCCCAGAGTCTCAGTGATGCACAGATGGCTGACACACTATGCAGTATCTACACAGTGGGACAATGGAGCAGAGCACATTATTTGCATTATTTACAGAGGACAGATGGACAAGTTGCTACAATGACCTAGCCCACAGAGCATCTGCAATGCTGAGGAGGCGCTAAGTCCAGCCCTAATGCTTGCAGGTGCTGACAAAAACAAATTTCAAAAAATAAAACGGCTGTTTACAGCAGCCCGATTTATTCTGAAATGCTATCACTACAACCATGCTTGCAG